TGCAACATATATATGTTGCAACTTGCAAGTTAAAGAAAACGGGTGGGGAAGTAGAAGTATTCAATTAGATCGATCATCAACTGTTTTAAGTTTTAATAATCAGATACATTTATCGATTATCTATACATACCAATGATAGTATGATACCAATCGTACCATACATTAATATTTATTACATATACTGATATACATATAACTAATATACATTAAATATGTCATATTGAATCAATTCCAATTTCCAAACATTTGTGTTTCTTACAATTTATAAGTTACATAAAGTTAAGAGTACAGTAGTGTTTTTATTAGTACGTAGCTATGAATAAAAAAAAAACATACTATCCAAATCCATTATCCCATGATCCGTGTCACCGTCTTATATTAAATATCAGCCATTGATTTGCATGTCATCTAACGGCCTATCATCGCACACATTCCAATTCATGATCCGTGTGTTTTCTTTTCCACCAATCAGATCACTCTTACCATCGTCTCTTTAGTACTCTTTTTGATTTCTCTCTCGTTTTCTTAATCCTCTTCTGTAATATTATCAATTTTTTGAAGCCATGGCTGCTAATATGCTCACTGCTCTCTCGTTTTCTCTCTCATCTCCTCTTCCTTCTTCCTTTCTTCTTCTTCCTTCTTCTCCCTTCTTCCGTCTATGTTCTCCTTTCTTCCATCTCGTTTCTCCGTCTCCGTCCACCGGCACCACGCACGACGGTTTTTATGGTCAAATTCGACCACGAAACTCTAGATCTAGTTGTTTCATGATCGAATTTGGCCTTTTAAAACCAAATTCGAGGCCAAATTCAGGATTAATATATAAGGTGTTTTCGTTTTTCCTTTTTTTATTTTCTGTTTTTCTTTTTAATTTTTTTTCAAGTTGTGGGCAACGGAGGGGGCCGAGTTAGGGTGGGTGCGGCGGCGGTTAGACTGGGTTCGAGTGGGTGGGGAGGGAGGATTTTTCGAGGGAGGGAGGGAGTTTTATGGTGGGTGAGCAATTAGAGTGAGTTGGGGGGTTTCGAGGATGTTGGGTTTCGTGGGGGTGGGTGGGTGGGGTGGGGTTACGGTGGGTTTGTTTTTTTTTCGATTTTTTTGTATGGGGTGGGGTGTGTTACGGTGACGGTGGTGGGTGTGGTTGGGGTTGGGTCTGTTTTTTTTTTTTTTTTTTTTTTTTTTTTTTTTTTACAGTGACGGTGGTGGGTGGGGTGGGGTACGTTACGGTGATGGTGGTAGGTGGGGTGGGGTATGGGTCTGGGTTTTTATTATTTACGGTGACGGTGGTGGATGGGGTGGGGTAAGGTTTGGGTCTGGGTTTTTTTATTTACGGTGGGTGGTGGGGTGGGGTGGGGTGGGTTACGGTAATTATGGTGGGTGCGGGGGTGGTGTTAGGGTGGGTCTGGGTTGACGTTGGTGGGGTGGGGGTGGGTTACGGTAACGGTGGTGGGTGGGGGTAGTGTTAGGGTGGGTCTGGGGTGACGGCGGGGGTGGTGTTAGGGTGGGTTACGGTGGTGGGTGGGTGGAGGGTGGTTGGATTGGGTGGGTGGCCAAATTTTTTCATTTTTTTATTTAATTTATAACTCCTAATTTAGTTATACAAGAATATAATTTTAATTTTATAATAGCAAAAAAAATTACAAATTTAAATCAATAATTATATGTAAAAAAAATTGTACTGTTAAATTACATTAAACATCAAATATATTTCGTGGAATTCTAACAAATTGTTAAAGGCTGTAAATAGTTCAATTTGAATGGAACGGGTTGTAAACGGTTCGGTTTAAATAGTTTGTTATCGGATCGGTTTAAACGGGTTGCGGTTTGAAAATAGTTCGGTTTAAACGGTTTAATGGGTTATAACAGTTCAGTTTAAACGGTTAGCGGGTTGTAAATGGTTCGATTTAAACGGTTTTTTCCTACGGTTTAAACGGTTTCGGTTTATAAACGGTTTGGTTTAAACAGTTAGCGGGTTAACATTAATCGGTTCAAACGGTTTTGGTTTATAAACGGTTTGGTTTGTTATTGGTTTACGGTTCGTAACGGGTTAACATTAATTGGTTCGGTTCGGTTTCGGTTTGACATTATACGGTTCAGTTCGGTTTTCGGTTTAAAATTAGCGGGTTATAAACGGTTCGGTCCGTGATGGTTCGGTTCGGTAACGGACGGTTTCACGGTTCGGTTTGAAAAGTCCCACCCCTAGTAGTATCCATATTCTTCATGAAATAAAATACATGTCAAAATATTAAGCATAAAATTAATGATGATAAATAAATCAATAAAAACACCCAAATAGTTCATAAATTCATAAAGCATATAAAGTCTTTATTACAACCATTAAAATTAACATAAGTAAATCACTAGAATAAGTCTAATACTTAAAGATGGCACAAATTAATATAAATTTAATTATTCCCTTATGGGAAAGTGAATAAATCAGCAACTTCTAAATGAGTTGCATTGCCAAAATCAAAATTATTCCCTTCCGGGGAAGTGAAGAAATCTTCAACTTCTAAATGAGTTGCATTGCCAAAATTAAAATCACCTTCACCATCTTCAAGAACAAGGTTTGCCTCAACTTTCTTTCCTTTCTTCAATGATTCTTGGTAAAGTTCAACAAGATGCTTTGGAGTTCTACACACCCGAGACCAATGACCTTATACTCCAAAACGATAACATATATTGGTCTCACTTTTCTCTTTCTCAACTTTATCATTCCTACGTTCCAAATTCTGGTGGGAATGTGAGTTTGTGAAATGACCTCCACGACCTCTACCATACCCACTAAATCCACGTCCATGACCGCGCCATTGGCCACGACCACGACCGCGACCTCTACCTCGATCACTATTGCCGGAATGGTCTCTGTTTTTAGTTTCTTTCCCGTTATGGGTTGTCACATTCGTTTCAGGGAATGAGTAGAGCTAGGATGTGATTCATGATTTTTCATTAACAGCTCGTTATTTTGCTCAGCCACAAGTAGACAAGATATTAATTCAAAATATTTTTGAAAACCTTTTTCTCTATATTGTGTTTGCAGGACAATATTATTTGCATGGAAAGTGGAGTATGTCTTTTCAAGCATTTTCTGCATCAGTAATATTTTCTCCACATAATTTCAATTGAGAAGTTATTTTGAACATAGTTGAGTTATATTCAATAACATATTTAAAATCTTGCAATCTCAAATTCAACCAATCATAACGAGCTCTAGGAAGTATTACATCTGAACTTTATGCATCAATATCTCAACTATTATCAAGATATATTGATATGTCGTAACAAAGTATGCCAAACCGTAATACACGAAACAAAAGAACCATGGTAATAAATTACACTTAACATTTCCTCAAAGAAAAAAACACTTAACAAAAAATTAACCTTAAGATAACGTGTTATAAAAATAAAGAAAAAGGGAGAATATTAGACAGAGATGTAGATAGTAATTTCTTGTTTTATTCTCATTTCATTAGACCATGTCTTATATATACATGATAAGAATAATATAACATTCATGGATAATTAACATTCCATCTATGTGGGAGTTACAATGGAGGCATGGGCGGATCTAGCGTGGGTTCATTGAACCCGCTGAATTTTTGAAAAAAATTAAAAGGTTCTTTAAAAAATAAAAATAAATAAAAATAAATAAAAAACCGGGAAACAGATAAAATGATTTTTTGTTTAATATGTGTTAAACATCAATTCAAGTTTAGTGGTAATTTTTACCTTGCATCCTTATAACACAATGAGCAAGAGGTTAAGAGTTTGATTCTTGAACCTCATTTTTTTTTTTAAAATATCAATTTCAGTTTCTCAACACATAATAAACGTTGCGTTTGCCTTCCCCGTCTAGATAATCATTGAATATTAATAGATTGTATTAGCTTGATGAAGGCATCCTCTTTGCATATTATTTTTTTTCTTTTGAAACCATCCTCTTTGCATATTTTAATTAATTAGCCTTCCTATTTGAGTTGGAGGTAGAAGATTAGTATTAAGGTTAAGTTTGCTTCAAGGGACCCAATAAGTACGATAATATGGTCTAATGTTACAACTTACTAAGTATAATATTGTTCAGATTCAGATGATTGCATTTGTGAATTGTGTTAAAATATAGAATAGTAGTACTCTGTAATTTATACACATGAACGTGTTATTCCTCATAGGAATGTACTTGTACTAATTTTGTGTGACAATATCATTAGGACATAACATTGATATTCCTAAATTTAATATATACAAAGTATGTATTATTATATAACCATAAAAAAATCTATCAAATGTTAGATATCTCCTTGATATATCTATATATATATTATTGGAATATACAAAACCCAAATAAAAAAGATCTAAAATCAATCAATGAATATAAGCGTGACCCAATCGGATCATGAACTATTTCCTAATCACCCAAACACGATTCAAACTAAAGTGATTCAACATAGTCCCAATTCAACCCAACTCTTTTGGCAACTCAAAATTGTGTCCTCGTTGTTGAATTTTTTTTTTTTTCATTTTTCTATGTGTAATCGATTTGTAATCCACAATTTGAACTTATGTATTAAATATTTTATTAATATATTTTCATTTCTTCGTTAATAACGATTCCGAATCCACACATCGAAATTCCTGGAGACGCCACTGAATTGAGGTAATGACATATGAGGTTACAAGGAGGTTACAATTGGTGGCATATTGAGGGAGTTACAAGCCATAATGAACATCAACAATAATTATATTTTGTAACAGTAGTATAAGTGTGTAACTTTTCACATTCGTCTATGATTTCATGTCCTTATTATTACATCATTTCTTGTATTTCGTAAAGAGTTTCCTCCTATTGTCTTGGCCTACCCCATCTTTGTTTCACCTTTGGTTTTGACTCCTTTATATCCATTAATTATATCATTTTCTTATTGTATTAGGTTACAACAATTACACACTTACACCCAAAACCACGTTATTCTTCATATATTTACTTCTTTTCTTCTTTTTTTATTTTATTTTTTTTTATTATTTTGTATTTCACATGGTTCACCCTTTGGCTTAATCTGAATTTAGGGTTCAGTTATGGGTGGTTAGATTCCAATCCCCTCCCAATAATTGTTGCGAGGGATTGAACACGCAATCCTCCTTATCAAGTGAAGCCCCAATCACCACTGCAATAATAGTCAATTGGTATATTTACATCTTTTATGCTTGTATTTTCTTTTCCCATTCATTCACCCATGATTTCATGTCTTTTTACCCTACTTGCTTTGATATAATATTTCTTATTTCATTTATCTCATCTTACCGTCATTTATTTCTTATTTCATTTCCCTCTTGGACTTTGACTCCTTTAATTAATAAATTTTATGTTTTTCTTTCACAATTTTCTATTCTCCAAAAAGGGTGTCATTAATATTAATAGCAACTACGCCGTGATCACCACCACAGACACCATTAAATCATTCAAATGGCGCATTCCACTGTCTTTGGATGGCATTATTGTTATTGTTTTTGGGTAGGCAGCTAAGGTGGTACTGTGAGTTTAATTGTGAGAGGAGGGAGATAAAGGAGATAATTATGGGATGAGAGGGGAAAAAACGTCAAAAATGAAGCGGTACCTAGCAATTCTTGGTGATGTTTAGCAATTAATTCCAATAAAAAAAATTAAAAATAGAAACATGAGTGATCCCTCCTCCCTCTTTTCCGTAGTTTTATTTTTGAATGAAAGGGAACTTGATATGGGCAGGTGTTCCCTAAAATTAGCATTACAGGCAGCAAGCAAATCCACATAACAATAATCTTAGCAAAAACTTAGAGATCAACTAATTCAACTTTAATAAACTTCCACTAGTTCATTCCTCTCCTGCAAGGTGATCAACTACCGCCTTGGTTGGTTCAAACTAAATCTTCCCCAGGCTCTCCCTTAGCAGGCAGCACCCCTGCACATCGTACTCAGGTATTTCCAAGGATGAGCAGTGGTGGAACAAATAACTTTTCTACAGCTTTGTTGTAATGATCACATTATTCCATCCATAATTCCTGCACCATCTCACGACAGCTCGAAAATTTTGCAGCTCACAGTGATGTAGGGAGCTGAGTTGATTTCGGAATCAGCACTTAGCAGTCCACCTTCCCATGCTATCTAGACAGATCTTAGCGAAGAAAGCATCTACATTTAACTTGAGTTCCCCTTGATATTTGATGTCACAATAAATTGATAAAACATTAAGAACGGATGGCCGGAGCACTACATGAAAATTTGGAATATTCTAATAAGTATTTCTCATGAAAATTTGCATAGCATGTCTATATATTCCCCTTGTATTTCAATTTTGTTTTTAATGTTTGTTTTCTCCACCTCCCCGAGTGTTGTCCATGCCTGACTTGTGACCTTTCTAAACAAAAAACCTTTTATCAGTTTCAAGACTTTCTTCTTATTTCACTTCAAAAATATTCATCAATCTCCAATTTTATGTTCTTTATATGTTTCAAATTTTCATTTTTCATTCATCATCTCTTCTCATAGACAAACAAGACAACAATAAAGCCATACTGCCATAGCGTATTCCCAAAGAGGAGTCAGTTGCATGAACCGAGAGTCTATCTCATTTTGGTCATCCACAAAGGTCCTCCCCCTCCATTTGCTTCTATCTAATGTTACGTCACATAGCAAGCCCACTTTCTTTATGTCTTTTACATACGCAAACAACCCAAATACAAAAGGCAGAAACAAATTGCCTAAGTTCTAATTTTCAATGCACAACAATGCAATAAATAATGCCATGTCTCACATCTCTAATGTGATTTTCTATCACTCTTTAATTTTAAGGAAAAACCTTTCATTTCTCTAAGATCAAAGATTACTCAAGAGGGGATCACTTATATAGGTACACTTTCACCAGGATTTTACTTATTTCATTAGGATCGGAGTTATTAACCCTTGTCTTATTTAATTTATAAACCCTTATCTGATCTTATTGTTAGGCATTACTAGCCCTTATCTTGTTTGAACTTATTAGCTTTTATCTTATCTTATTTTAACTTATCTAAAATAAGTGAGGAGAACAAAGCTAAGAGATTATTATATCAGGAAAAAATAGGAGATCAATACTAAAAGAACCAAAATTCCTCATGTACTTTTACTAAAGTTTTCATATTTATCGTCCACGCTAGCAGCTAAACTGACTCGGTCAGAAATAAATCGCATAAGTTAGCACTTGGCAGTTTTATAACAATTGAATCGTAATTAGCGATTCTATGCTGACCATCCTACTGACTCTAAATTTTTCCTAGTTTTCATAGGGATTCACCAAGAATAAATTCATTAATTCAGTTGTCAGTTGTTGCTGAGCTGGTAAAAAAAAAATTGATATTATTTGTTAAATCAACATAATTGAGGATATTGTCATTCTTTTAGCATTATCTAAGAAAATCTTTCTATAATTTGAGAAAAAAACTAAATCTTGATAAGCTTTTTTTCGATAAGAATTCTCAATAAATTCATCTGTCTTATTTGAAAACGAGGGGGTAATTATTCAATGATATTGGAATATTTACAATTTGGATGTGTTCATATTCAAGCATAAGGTCATGAATAAATTGTATGGCTTCAAAAATAATACGGAGTAAGTTTTTTAGTAAATTAAAATTCAGTGGCCTCTAAATTAGTAAACAGAATTTGAGCCGCCGTAGTCTTTTCTTTAAGCAGAAATAAGCTTTATCTAAATAAAGTAAATAAAAATAGGATGGTGACGACTGATGAACTTCATTATTCATCAGCAGTAAACCTTTCACTATCAATAATAGAAGATGTAACCCTAATGATCATATTCATCATCAATCATGAACATTATTAAAAGTAGAATTTTTTGAAAATAAAAACTATTAAAATCCTATATAGGTAAAGAATGAAAGTACAAATGCGAACCCATTTTTAGTGGTTTCAAATTGTGAGAATAAATACAAATTAAAATTCTAGACTTGAAGAATAAAACCCACCGGCTATACTTTGAGTCATGATTCTAATATTCTTATTCTCTAAGAATTTTGGGGAAAATAAAAAAAATTAAAAAAATAAAAACTTTATACTGCTCTTCCCCACTTTCTTTTTACAACAAGGAATATCATTCCGTGGTCATTTCTCACTTTTAATTTCTAATGGAAATCCAAGGGCCACTCTTGTGTGGTCAACAAGGAGCAATTATCAAGCATCTTAACACATGTTTGTGTTCAACTTCAGCTTGATTTGTACTATCAAAACATCACATAGACCATGCTGCTTCTCTTCCAAAGAGCATCTATGACACCACCTTAAGGGAAAAGCCCATCTCGTGCACGAGTGCGGTGGCTCTCCCTCCACCACTTAGTTTATGACGTGACTCACATGAGTTTAATTTCTAGGTACCTAAGGTAAGGTGGTCGAGCATATAGATATTGACACAAATTTTCAAGTGCTATCATAAGATTATTTTGAACCATATAATAGAAACAATAGTTGTATTCTAATGGAAAGTAAATTAATGTTCATTTCACCTAGTTATAATAGGGTATGGAAAGTAACACAACTTCAACAATGTTAAATTAGCCACATAGTATGAGATAGACCAGCCTAAGTAGGCCCCTTCCCATTTGATTTAGCTTTGGGTATGAGGGGGGAGGTTGGGTTTGAGCATCAAAAAACGACCCCACCCCATTTGTTTTTCCATCAGTAGATGCCTTAATATCGCATAAGGGGCCTTAAAAGGAAATGCAAGTACAGAAATCGAACAATACCTTATATAAGTTTCCCTCTTTCACCAATGTGGAGAATCATACGCCTTTGGGAGAAGATAGCCACAGTAAATCTGAACAGTGGAAAAGTCGAGTACTCTAATGTACAACAATGAGCATTCTTATTCCTAGCCTGCACACGAAGCAAACAAAGTGAGCAAAGATAAGATGAAAAAGGTTTTCTGGGACATCAAGGAATAGTTAATACTCTTGCATTTATAAATTTTTATTAAATATAAAACTTGTTTGTCAAGCAGAAATGAAGCATCTTTCCCAGGTGTTATTGGCCCATATAGCATAATTAGCCAAGTTCCTAGTCTTCCTACAGTCATAGAGATGCCTAAGTGCCTAAGACAAACTTGGAAGCAAATAAAACAGACAATTTCATTTCATAGAGAATCAATAAGGTATTTTACAATACTATTTGATTATCGACTTATCATTAGCTTTTAACTATGATTGAGTACACCAAAAAAGTATCAACCAAATAAAAAGGGTAAAATAGGGGAATAGTGTGCTTTTTACCATGCCTTGCAATTTTCAAATTTCAAGTTAATTGCGTAAGGGTAAAACTGTCGGTTTGTATAACATTGACTGAATAACATCAAGGCATTTAGAGTATTTTTTTAACAATGTGTCATAACCAGAAGTCATTCAATATCTAGTCTAGAGTAAAAGGATTGCTTGGGTTTACTATCATCCAGTGAGCTACATACAGAGAAAATTACAACGAAACACACTAGCGCGAGAAACAGGAGACAAACATATAACGGAAAGAGAGCAATAAAATGCATCCAAGTATTAGGAAAAGAACTAAGAATTTATACACAGAATTGAGAAAATGGTGTAATCACTACTTTTGATCTAAACATCTTAATGTTTGCCTTAAAGATAAAAATATATTTGGGAGCACTCTTACAGAAGACACAAAAAAAGTCACTCCGTATCAAACTGTACAAAGTATTGCTTCCGTATATATATGTCATGGGTCATGGTTCATAAGGCATGACTTTACTACAACCATATAGGCATTCTCTTCACTTCTTAAAGACTCCAACTTCTGAAAATCCTCTTTATTTGAACAATGATACGAAGAACCAACAAGATTGCAGATCAATCAAAATCCGATACACCATGGCTCTAAAGGAACCCATATTACACATAATGATTTTAAGAACATGATTTACAAGTTTTAAATCACCTAATGAATGATAATTCCCTAATCAAATTGTTGATAAACAGAATCACAATGGTAGAAAGTATCATGGTGACGCTTATTCCATTTCCACATGCCAAGTAACTAGTGAACAAAGTCACTTTAAAACTTCTTTTTGCAAAAGGCCTATTGATTCCCAATCTATATCCTGACAAATCAGAATCAAATTATCCTCCACAAAAAAAGGCAAACTGAGTCTGGAGTTGCTATGATGCTATATATTAATGTTCGCTAGTTTAAATTCCCCAATTTCCGTGCAAAGATTAAAGAAAAGCTCCCCATTTTTAGCTTCTTTCATGCAAAAAATTGCTTGTAAAATACTGATTAGGCAGTATGACATTTTCTTTTTTTTTTTTGTGGATTTTGATATATTGGGTTGATTTGGAATCAATAGCAGAAAAAACGAATGTGTTCTTGAAGTCTTATGTTGTAGATATAATTAAAGCACTAGCATTTCTTTTATTATCATTATCATCATTGATTAGTCACCAGTCTTAGTACTGCTAACAATTGATGGATTGTCAACTTGTCATTATTATTACAGAAAAGACTTGTATACGATAATATCTCATGAAATAAATTCAGGAAGAGCATCAAGAATAACTTGCAATGAATTATTAAGAATCTTTATACCTCGCCAATTGATGGTATTCCAAAGGGGTCTGTAAGAGTTTGTTTCTCAGTGTGTCTATGTGCAAAAGACCTGATGAGGAAAAACTATTCATCATATGAAACATCATTTTTGTATGATTTGTACGAATTTCTAGAAGGGCACAATAAATATAAGAGCAAAATACACAAGAGCGCAGTATATGTATATACTTCGTATCTACACAGGTTTTACTGCAGCAGACATATCTACACAGGTTTTACAGCAGCAGACATGGTTTTACACAAGCATATGTTGTTTCCAAAAGGTACATGACACGACTTGAAGAGGATCATGATTGATGCCCAAACTCGATTAATTGACATGGAAACATATACATATATATTAAATACATGTATAGATGCATGCTTTGAAATATAAAACAAGGAAAACAGAGTATTATATGTGTATTTGGAGGGAATCACAGAACAAGTCATAAGTAAGGTAAATGGTCCTACACAGATGAAAGACACATCTTTGAGAAAAGAAGCAAGTACAATACTCAGCAATTCTACCAGGTCTTAATCTATAAAACAATCAGTGTGGGACTAGTTGCTCAAGCCAAATGGCAGTGAGACAGATTTGGGTCCATCGATGTATTTACAATAAGTGGGTTGAATAAGTTCCATATTTACCGAAGGAGATATAATAGTATGTATTCCATATTCCATGCTTTTCCCTCAAACAATGTTCCAAATTAAGCATCTTCCTTCATTTTTTCTTGTCAATATCATATACTAAAGTTTTATGATGTTCCAGTCAACAGAATCTTCCCCCAGCAATTTCCACATTAGAAACAGTTACATTTCTTGCTTATGTCTCTATCTAAGCCCTTTAATAGCATGGTGTTGTTGTTCATCCTCAATGACATAGAATTCAAAGTCATTGAAAATGAATGATGATTTATTAGAAGGCAATGAACAAGGCTTAAAATTGCAATATTTACCATATGTTGTACAGTAAAAGGGATGACTTTGAAAATTTCAGGAGAATACAGTTAGTGGATTCTCCTGTCCAAGTCAGAGGATTCCAATATACCATCAGAGAATAAGGTTCTAGTTTTGCCAGATCAAAGAATATAAATTCGGGGAGAAAAAAGGAGCCGCTTCATAAACTAAGAATATAATTAGCAGATATAATAGAAAACTGCTGCGCATTTATTCTGGTACTTAGTGCAATTTATGTGATGTCCTGAAAAGTTCAGTTCAGAGGAATTCAAACTAGAAGTTTTGTTCTGAGTGTGGAAAGTGGACCACAGGACAGGAATGACAAGATCTCTTTTGAGTTGCTATGAAAAATAGATTAGGTTGCGTTCATTGTTGGCTCTGTCCAAGATTCCATATTCTCTCAGCTTTCTATCACCTCTTCTTCTCCTTCTTATAAAAGCCTCCTATAGCTTGCCTTTTTCTCTCCATAAGAAACGATAAAAAAAAAAAAAAAAAAAAAAAAATGTGCAACAGAAGTAGAAGATAATTGGTTTCTTAAGAGAGTATAAAATATTAGGAGGCAAAGAGAACAACCAACAAACTTGGAAAAACCAAGGCTCAGCCTCATAAATTTTACTACAATAGAAAACATCTATTTCCTCAGGTAAAACTCCCAACAAGATTAGAGCAATTGATGTTTACTAGATTTACATCAAATTAAGATTGGTCATCTTCAAGGCAGGATATGTTTCATCACCAAACCCAGGCAAACATGTACACTTCTACAAGAATGCCAGCTCCTCAGGAAAGGCAGCTCTTCCTGCAAGGTGGAAATGGCTCTAGGGATTCAAATCTTGTCCTTTCAACTGATGCGAAGCCTAGACTGAAATGGACACCTGATCTTCACGAACGATTTGTAGAAGCAGTAAATCAACTCGGGGGAGCAGATAGTATGTCCAACTCTAAACTGACGTTAAATATTGAACAGGGATATGCAGTAGACATGTAGTAATATAAAATGGGTCAGCTAACCAATTCTATTCCTTATATATTTTGCAGAGGCTACTCCGAAAACAGTCATGAAACTCATGGGAATTCCAGGGCTGACTTTATACCACCTAAAGAGCCATCTTCAGGTGATTATCACTTTCTGAATGACAGAGTTCAGGCTTCACCCTTGCTGATTTGTCTATTTTGCATACTGGCATAATTGGCAACCCCTTACATTTTCAGTTTGGTTCATACACACCAAGATAGCCATCTAAGTACCAATACATCCTCTTTTCCACCTCTTTTCTTGGGAAGAGAAACATAAATTGCAGTTTCTAACGTTCTTTTCATTATTGGTTAGCAGAAATACAGACTGAGCAAGAATATTCATGGACAAACCTCAAGCGGGGCCAACAAAACTGGTAGGATAACCTTCTCATCAATATCCTTTATCATATTTCTAAAAAAATATCTTACAATGGTAAATTTAACTGATAATACACATTTGCAGTTGTCATGTCTGGCGACAAAATACCAGAAACAAGTCCTTCCCATACCAGCAGCATCAACATTGCCCACCAAACAAACAAGTAAATATGATTTCCATTGCTGTGATTAGAACTAACAAAATGATTTTTATGCCATAATTTGCACTAACAGCTTATTGTTAAATTCAGGAACTTACATATAAACGACGCATTGCAGATGCAAATCGAAGTCCAGAGAAGGCTACACGAGCAGCTTGAGGTACATGATCCTGTCTACTTCCAATTCAAACAGAATGGCCTTTCACCTAATGCGGAAACAACAACAGCTGCTCAGAATTTACAGAGACATCCTAAGAACAGTCGTGACAAAGATGTGGGGTATAAAATGAAGAATAAGTTTTGTTATATTTTGTGCCTGTACATGCCAACGATACTTCATATGCATTGCTTCGTAATAAAAATGATATCAAGAAAAGTGGTAGGTCACTAAAGGATAAAAGGGTTAAAAAAAAAAAACACTTCCAAATATAAACTCATCTGAAAAAGCTTGATACATGTATGAGACAATTAATCTGTTCCAAGATTTTTCTTGTTGGGTTAAATACTTCTGAGATTATAAATCCTTATTTATCCCCTAATGAATTTACGTGGAATTAGGTGCAGCGGCGTTTACAGTTAAGGATAGAGGCTCAAGGAAAATACCTTCAGTCAGTCTTAGAAAAAGCTCAGGAGACTCTTGGAAAGCAAAATATTGGTGTAGTTGGTCTGGAAGCAGCGAAACTTCAGCTATCTGAATTAGTTTCAAAGGTATCCAACCAATGCTTGAACTTAGCCTTCGCAGAGATGGCAGAAGAAAAGCAGGGGGTATGCCCTAAGCAGCAAATACAGCCCTACAAACCGATAGGGGATTGTTCAATTGATAGCTGCTTAACCTCATGTGATGGACCTCAGCTGAGAGAGCAAGATATGCAGAATAGTGAGTTAGGGTTAAGACCATACAACGATACCAAATTCTTGGAGGGAAATGAATTCAATGGAAATCTAAAAGATCATGCAACAATACTTTTCCCTACAACAACTCAACAAGATACAGAAAAGATGGTGTTTCAAATGGAAGGAACATGTAGTGATTTGTCCATGAGTGTCGGGATTGGAGGAGATACACAAGATCAGCTTGAGAAGAACACATTTCAGCTCGATAATAAGAACTACAAACTTGCTCCATTTAGTAGTGATCTAGACTTAAATGTCCAGGATGAGCATGATGTTCCTTCAAGCATCAGACACTTGGACCTCAATGGATTAAGCTGGACATAAGAGTGACTTGAGCAACACCAAAAGGTTCAAAATTCGGAACCATCATCCATCGCTTCAACTAGTATGGAGCTTTCAGCAGTAAAACAGCTTGACAGCATAGCCTTTCACAGAATTGAATGACATGAATTTAGTCCTCTTGTATGCCTCCTATACCATTAGATTTGTAAGGCTTTTTCTTGATCATACCCTAATTTAGCATTAATGGCTATTCAATTGACAGGAAAGACAGAATAACATGTTACATATACAAGTGTTACTTTTAGCACGAAATTATCTCAAACCATCCCATATATTTTTATCATGGAAATTGTCATTGGCGCATTTCATCAAACACATTAAGCGCAACATTCACTTTAACAAAAATCAATAATTTAAAGACATGAATTCAAAATCCATGTTCCAATTCCCCCTCGTTTTCCGCTTTCTCCACTGCATCAGTTCAGAACACCATTATTCGACGAACGAAAAGGTGTAAAAATCGAGATTTTTGCCAAAATTTAGGGTTTCAAAGCCTAAACGATAAACAATAGACGAAAACATCTAATCCAAAGCAACAAATTCACAGAAAATTGAAAATAATTATCATAAAATTTGAGAATTTGAACCTTGTACTCATCAAAGCAGCGGCCAACGGACTCAATTCGTTCATCTTAACTGCATTTTAATTGTTCAGGCTCCCGCGCATTTCAGTGGACCATATGAAAGAGAGATGACTGAAAGATGTGCTTGTCGAGGACTTGCTATGCACGGCCCACTGGCTTATTGCCTTGTGGCTTGTGCTGTGCTCCCAATAACCAAGCCTAAGGGGCCCAAACCCTGGTTGGCTCGTAGCACGATACGACTCTACAAAAAAGAAGAGTGCTGGGTAGATACAACAAGAGGCGTTTCTAGGGAGTGTAACACATTAACAATGTATATCCTAAATCTATTGGTACATAATAATGGTATTTAAGTATTATTCATATGCATGGGCAAATGTATATCCTAAATTTAGAGTAGTAACATTGGACGATAAAATGATACCAATGAATATTTAGGGGTACTATATAATTATATATGCATGTATTCGTACTACATAAGCATTCAATAATAGTACTAAATTTATACATATAGGGTACCATTGAATGATAATATAAGCTTTTAGTGGTACAATTTGAGTATATTCCCATCATGTGATGACAATTGGACCGAAAATAGGTGGGGTCCACCAACCTACCTCTCTCTTCCTTTGTCTCTCTACTTTTCTCTCTCTTCCAAGTGTTTGTATTTTAAAAAATACATAACAATACTGCATTTGTATGATGATCACTCTAAAAAAAAAAAAGTAAATGTATGTATCTATATTAATCTATTAAAAAGTGTTCCTAAGAACGTCTATGTACCACGTAGACCTTTTCATTACGCCACGTCACCAACTCAAGTTTAAGATTTGAATATGCAACCTTTACTTCTAAAACTAAGTGTCCTATCACCAAGCTATATGATATTTTATGTTATCATTTAAATACAAAATATTAATGTGCAGCGAATGACAATGTGATTAACAAATTTAATTACATGAAATTTGAGTCATAAATCAAAATGTATATTTATGATCAACCTCATGTAATGTCCGGGGCATCACCCGGGTCCAAAAACTAGTACATATACTAAATTAGTCTCGTGCGGTGCACGATTTAGACAAATAAATTTGTTATATTGTCACAATTACAGAGTTATTGATTAGACCACGCACCCCACGCCAAAGACACATCCAAACATCAAAAAGTTTTCATTGTATGCAATAGTTTACTTTAAGAGATTATTAGTATACTTTAAGAGAGATTTAGTTTACTTTTATAAGACTTATACTTAATTAAATAAATTATCTAAATGAAATGGACCTCAGATGGAACATCAAATGTGTTTAAGACTATTAATCACCATTAACAAACAACATATATATATGATCTCTCAGAGGAATTTCATCGAACAGTTGATATGCAAAGTTACAAAATAAGAAGCTTCTTTTATACTAATAAAATTATATAACAAAAAAATCACTGAAAAACAAACAAGGGAAAATTATAAAAAAAATTCAGAAATATTACTCAATTTCACGTAAAATTTCAAATTCAAACACCTTCAATTACGCACAACCTCAATCTCTCGCAACCTCATTTTGAATAACTTTAAATTTCAACAGAATTCAACCTGAAAACACTAAAATAAATTGGTAATTGCATAAATAACTATACAAACATTATAATCTTCAAAGACTATCATAGCATTATAAATCTAATTCAAATTAAAATTTTGAATTAGTACCAAAATTTTCGAACTATTATCGAGTAATTTCTGCAAAATGAGTTAGAATCAACAAGTAATTTACTTAAGCCGCTTAAATGGAGTCGTGAAAGCTTGAAATTCGCTTCAATGGAGTATAGAAAGCTTGGAGGTCGCTTTAATGCACTACTAGAAAAGAGCTGTTCAACGACGGAAAAATTCCGTCGGAATAACCCGAAATTCTGTCGGAACTGCCAGTTTCCGACGGAATTCCGTCGGAACGCACCGTTGTATTACATTTTGTAGGAATTCCGCTATATTCCGACGGAAAGGTCCATTCCGACGGAATGATGGTTGTCGGAGTCAGAATTGACTTAAATGGGAAATCCGTCGCAAGGTTCCTACGGAAAGATTTCCGTCGTTATACAATAATTTTCGACGGAATTTTCCATTGGAAACCACTATACTTCCGACGAAAGTCGAAATGCTGAATTAAAAAAAAATTAAAAAAAAAAATCAGCCCACCCACCCAGATCCACCAACTCCCCCCTCCCCTGCTCAACACCCCAATCCACCCTACCGCCACCTCTTACCCACCAACGACGCCACCACACCAAACCCCACCGAAACCACCCCAACAGCAGCCCACCAAATACCACCGACACCACCACAATCCCACCCACACCAAACTGAAGCCACCACACCACACTAGCCCCCACCACCACCGACACCACCACACCACACCACACCACCACCCACACAATAAACGCAAACAAAAATCACCAATTAACCCAAAAAAAACCCAAAAAAAAATTAAACATCGAAAATCAAACGAAAATTAAAAAAACGAAAATTAAACATCGAAAATAAAAAAAAACGAAAATTAAACATCGATATCCAAACGAAATATATAAATACACAATTGTGTAATAAATTTTATAAACTACCATTACAATTACATACAAAATTTACTACATCTACACTTTAACCTAAATTACAAGATCTACAAAAACAAAAAACCTTGAAACACGTGGCTGGCGACAGTGGTTGTTGCGGTTGGCGTTGATTGTTGTTGTTGACGGTGTGCCCGTTGTTGTTCACGGTGGCTGGCCACGCTAAGCACTTGATGTTGAGTAAATTGTTGTTGTAGTAGAGGAGAAGAGAGAGAAAGAGAAGAAGAGAGAGGCGAGAGAAAAGAGGACAGGAGAGAGAAAGATAATGAAGGAGGAAGAGAAGAGGAAAGAGGAGAGGGAAAGTGAAAAGAGGCGGAAGAGAGGAAAGAGAAAAGAGAAATGAAAAGGATGGGAAGTTAGGGTTTCGGGAATTTTAAGGAGTTTTTTTTTTTTTAAAAAAAAAGCCAAAATCCGTCGGAATAAGCTAAAAATTCCGTCGAAAATTTAATGTTCCGACGGAATATTCTGTAGGAAATTTCCTACGGATTTTAGTTCTGTAGGATATTTAATATTCCGACGGATTATTCCGTTGGAAGCTTTCGACGGATTTTATTTCCGTTAGAATTTTAATGTGTTGACGGAATATTCCGTCGGAAAGCCTATATTTTCCTACGGATTTGTATTCCGTCGGAAAATTTCCTATGGAATAAGAATCCGTCGGAATATCTGAATTTTTCGACGGAAATACGTGTCCGTCGGAAACTATCTGTCGGAAATCGACCTATTTCTAGTAGTGATGGAGAATTTAGAGGCTTGTTGTAATGGAGGAGAGGAAAGTGCAGTTGATTTTGGGAAATAAATTTGAATATGTGTGAATTAATCTGGGCCACTCATCATGCGCGCATCCAAGTTAGATCCAATGGTTGCAGTTAGTTTCTATTTCCTATTATTCACCTAGTTCTCATTGTAACGGATCTAGGGGGTTTATATACATATATATACATATATATGTATGTATGTATGTATGTATGTATACATATATATATATATATATATATATATATGGATTTAGTATCAAATGAAAAGTTTCTTAAAATGAGAAGGATAAGAAGGATTTTATATGCATATATTTTGTATTGCATGTGCATATTTTTTAAATTGAATGTGCACATATTTTTTTCACTTAAATTCGATGTGCATAAATTTTAAACAAAATGTCCATAATTTTACTTCTAAATATGCATATATTTACTCCTCTTATTCATTCACCTAAGAACAAGAATCTGGCAGAGAAGGGACAACATTTCCAATTCCAATAGACATTACAGGTTATCCTTTGAATTTGATTTAATTGCTTATTTTTCTTATTCATTCACCTAAAAACACCTTTCTTCTCTTTCTCTCTCATCCTCTATTTCCATTAAAGAGTTGTAAAATAACATTTATTGGCATTGTAGGGAGCTTTGAAATGAAAATCTATGATCTAATATGGTGAAGATGATCAGATTGCTTCTACTAGAGGGAAGAATTGAAGGTAAGGAGATAATTAATCATGAAACTTGAGGGAGGAAGAGAGAGAAAAGACGAATAGTGAAAATTTGAGGACGACGGTCGATCTTGATCAGATCGAAGAGTAGTATGAATTAGTGAGAAAATAAGCTCTATAATCTAGTGATATTTGATCAGTAAAGAGATGATGAGAAAGATGAAGTAGAGTAGTGCGGTCTTTTTTTGTTTCTAATATCAGTCGTTAGATTGCTCATATGAATGGCTGAGATTCCTTCTCATCCTTCTCATTTTAAGATCCTTCTCATTATATATATATATATATATATATATATATATATATATATATATATATATATATATATATATATATATATATGGGATTATGTGAGAACACATCCCTTATGTGAGAACCCCAACTTATGTGAGAATAAATCTAGACCTTTTAATTTTTTTAATCTAGGGGATGTGATTATTCCCTAAAAAATCAAAACCAAAATAATATTTTAAACCAACCCCCTTATTTCTCTCTTTCACCTCCACATTTCTTTCTTTCTCTCTCCTCTCACCTATTGTTCAGTATACATCATCAACTTCAAA